TCGCCATTAAGTGAAGCACCACTGTATTTGCAAAATTCAGGCTTGGATCATTTTAACTTTACATGTTTTTGGTGGGCACTTTTTGAAAACATTTACTTTGTGTCCCCTTACAAAAATAGCATGAAACATTTCTGTCAACAGAAATATACTTTTCCATGTTAATCTTCAATTTGTATATCTAAACACCTAGTAAGCTCTCTTATATTAGCAGTAGAAAGCTGAAGAAAGGGACACATTATTGAGAAAGATACAATTACACCAGTTACACTACAGCTCTGTTTTCCTGTCACTTAAGCCAAAATTATGGTTTAATAAACCAGGATATAAACTATTAGTGTGCTGATACATGCATCCTGCTCACTTTGATTTAATTCTTGCCTCATGCAAATGGATAAGGCAGCCACAAAGGTGATAGTTTCTCATGACATCCAAAACCAGGGCTATGGTTTAGCACCTTCAAACAAGCCAGACTATAAGTGAGTTTTAAACCAGAGATAGTTGTCACATTATCATTTTGGTTTGTCTGGATGCAGTAAAACAAAGTCAAAAGCACGCATGAGTAAAGGGAACAGGCGAAGGCTCAAGAGGACTTTGGAGAGGGGGATGTCTAACCTTACCTCCATTCCAATAATTCCTCTGCTCTATACTTCCTTCTCAACTAGTGATCCAATCAGCATCATAACTTCTGCAGTGCCTTTAGTAATGTGACAGCCACTATGCTGAATGTTTTGAGGTCACTTGGGAAAAGGCAGGTTTTGGAATCCCGCTTACTATGATACTCATAACCATTACTACCATTAACACAGTGAAAGAAGTGACATTAGCAGGTGCTTCAGAATTGCATGAGGTTTCAGGAGCAGTAAGTCGTGCCCTGCCCCGCATTACGACGAAACAGCATTACGACAACGTTTTTGCGATCGCTTTTGCGATGCAAAACAATGGACTGAATAGGCTTTTTTTCGCTTTGCAATGATCGGTTCCCTGCTTCGGAAACCAATTCTTTGCAAAACGATGATTTTCCTACAGCTGATTGGCGGTTTCAAAATGGCCACCGGGTAAATAAAATGGCTCCCCGCTGTTTTCTGGGACGGATTCCTCGCAAGACAGCCACCGAAAATGGCCACCCTATGGAGGATCTTCGCTGGGCGGTGAGTTTTTAGCCCACTGAAACGCATTAAACGGTTTTAATGCATTTCAATTGGTTTTTTATTTTCGCATTACAACATTTTCATTCTATAGCGATTTCACTGGAACGAATCAACGTCGTAATGCGAGGCACCACTGTATAGTGTGATGTGCACTGGAATGAAAGCACTCAGTGGGGGAAAACTGGGACATTGTATTGTCACTAAACACACTAAGGTATTTAAGGCTCAATTGTTTTCAATGTACAGTATAATGCTTCAGGCCACTCAGAAGTGGTTCATATATGTATGCTACAGCAGTATTCCTGAGAATTTAATCCCATCCTTTTCTAATTAAAAGGAAATGTGTGATTTATAAGACGCTGCTTGAGGCAGACATGGCCAGTCAGACAATAAGGGCTTAGTTTGGGAAATAGTCTGGTCCATTTTTAGCTAGATGCCTATTATTATCCTGATTTTGCACATGAGGATATAAAAGCTAAGAGAACTGTGGTTACCTCTGAGTTTGTTTCAGTGAGAATTGAACATGGGACAACCCAGCCCAAAGCTCCTATTCTTTTCCTTCATACCAGCTCTCCATGGGGAATTCCATGTCTCTTCACAACAAAGGAAATAGATGAGCATCTGGCCTGCCAAGAGCAAAATCAATCACATCTCCTCAAGGAAAAAACTGGCCTGTTTTCCCTTGAGGCTTCCCACATTTTTCTGTACTGGAGTTTCTAAGGAGGATTATGTATAAATGGAAAAGTCACCTTTTTGGACAATTTTCCAGGATCCCTCATGTTGATTAGGAGATTCTGAAACTTGTAATCCAAAAGCAACCATTCAAAGCTCTGCATTAGGACTATGGAGTACAAAAAGAACTAAACTGATGGTTGGCAAAACAAGACTCTTAATAAGAACAAAACAAAAAGCATTGTAGGAGTTAAGACATTTGTAATGAACTGTAACAGCAAAGTCAGTTGTCATTTCTTTAACTAAAAGTTTTCAGGAGAGCAAAAGATATAGTATAGCATAATCTAGGCATTAACTCAAGCTAAACAGTGATTTAGAAGTCTGTTATTTATCACTTATTTTGTCAGAATTTATTTAATACTGTTAAGAAATGCAATATATAATAGTGTTTCTCAAAAGGAACGCAAGCGACATCAACATAAACCTAAGTTTACCCAGTCATTCTAGAAGCCCGTTTCCTATTTGATTCCAGAGTTCTTTAATAACTTCAAAACCTTACAAAATTCAAATCACAAACACCTTGAAGAGTATATGGCATAAGTGTTTTAGAACGAATACTTCCTCTTCTTTACCTGTCACCACTACTGGTTGTATTTGATCATGTTTTGCCTTCCAAATACAGACTGCAATAGAAAATACTTCCAACCCTTTGCTGAACAACAGGCTGTTGCTATCAAGCAACTGATCCCAAGGATAGAGTGTGTGCATCCCAAACAGCCATGATCTGATAACAGGAAAGTTCAGTGAGTTAAGGAGAACCAGATGTCAGAATATCCCACAGTGCTTCCTGGAAAAAGAGACAGTCTGTGTAGCCTTGGGCAAGCTGCACAGTCCCAGAGCACCATAAGATGGGAATGGTAAACACTTCTGAGTACTCTGTACCTAGAAAACCCTGGGAGGGGTTGCCAAAAGTTGGCATCAATAGTAGTAGTAGTAGTAGTAGTAGTAGTAGTAGTAGTAGTAGTACATTCTTGCAATTACTTTAAGAGTATATCAATACCTCTGTGCTCTGAAGGAAAGTTCCCTTATTTTCAGCCACAACAGCAACTCTGGGTGAAGATATAACATCTTACATTTCTCTCAAGGACTGAGGGAACATACTACAGGGAGCAAGGTTGCTAACACATTACAAAAATGCACATTTGTATGCCAGTTCACACATTTTGCTATTCTTATTTGAATACTGGAAGTCTTATAGACTTGAACAAAGTTGAAGGCTTCGCTTCAAAACGCCAACATCATACTAAGAACTAATATAGTACATTTTAGTGCTTGACACTCACTTTATTTATATATTAATAATTCAAACTAACTCAACTGTAACGTTCAGACATAGGTCAATGTACATTCTAAATGCAGGTTCAGCTGTACTTTATAGACCACACTGATAAATACAATGAGCTTCCTCCAAAAGTAGGTACTGTATCTCAAAAACTGAAGTGGAAATGTACTACAAAAGACATGTTGTTAAAGGATCTGTTGTAGGAATTACTCTAATTCATTTTTTGCCCTCTCTTATTATTGTTGTCAACCTAAGTAAAAAATACAGCAGGCTAGAAAGTGAGATGCTATTATTTGTAACATGATCTCAGTGAGAAGGTAAGAAACACCACACCCAACTGTAAGCACAGAATCAACACAACTGGGAGTCTGTAGAATGAAGCAGCTTTCCAGGCAATCTACCGGAGCCTCTGTATTACAAATGAGTAGGAATTAATTATTTTTCCTTCACACTTACCTTGGGAGGAATACACTTTAAGTCTTGGAATCATAGACCTCTCTGTGCCATTATGATAATTACATGGGCACTCCACACGGAAAGCCAGCATGCATGGAGGTCTATTTGCTTTATTCTTCTCACTCATTTTTTGAGGAGGGAAAATCGCACAAATTACAAGAGCACATATACACACATGCTTACATGAGAAACACGTGTACCATATATGACATGTAGTGTAATGACACAGAGCCTATTCCTGTCACACACAGACCACTCATGCTCCCTGGATTAGGCCTTAAAGTCATTAGATTCCAACAAATCTCTATAGCATGATGGCAAAATACATAATATTTCCAAGCACTATTAGGCAACACATTTTTGAAAAATCAACCATCTCCCAGAAGATTATTTAAACAGCTGGTTTAATTTAAATTTATGTTCCTGAGTCGTCCTCCTTCTTCCTCCTCTTTTCCCAAACATATCAAAAGGAGGCCCATAGCAGACTCAGTATGCTTTTCTCTTTTCAGAGGTATGATTAGGTATGTTTGGCTGCCCTATCTGCTATCAAGAAGTGCAAGTTACCTTAACTGATCTACCTGAATCAGGTGTGCATTTAAGTGAAAAAAAGTGCTGCATTTTGCAATCCATGTTCCTTCTTGGTTAGACTTCCATAACACAGCATTCTTCCATTCCCTTCACTTGAGCTGTATGATTACAATGTTTTCTCACCATCACATGTTTCTCTTTTTTCACACATTGCATGTGCCCAACTCTTTTGAGCATGAATAGGTTTTTAATTCATGAAATGAGCAGGCCTTATGTTACAAGCTGAGATAGGCAATATTAGTTTTTCAGACTAATACTCCCCAAATACCCCACCAACTGTAGCCACTGACCGTGCTGGTCAGGGATTCCAGGAGTTGTAGTCCAGAAAATAATGACTTCCACCTCTAATCACACTCTTCCCACGTTCAGCTACACTAAGGCAACAGCAGAATCAATATGGTAATTCCAAGTGCCTACGTAAACTGACTTACTGTGTTATCCAATTACTGTACATACTTGTTCCATGTTTCATATATTGCTTCTGTAATGTACATGAGAAACTCCCAAACTGGTGGCATACATTCACAAGTCAGAAACAGCAGCTATTGGTACACACACCTTACACGATTTCCTATGTGAATCAAATCTGCACAGCATCCCATAGATTTTTTTTCAAGCACCATATGGTATAAAACGGCACAATATAAATATTAAAAATATTTCCTCAGGAATAACAGGAAGGTGATTTTTAAATAAAAACAAGGACCATGCAGATATTAAAAAGATGACACATGTACATTTTACAAACATGCCAATAATCAGAGCTATTATTTTTAAAAGAAAAATATCTATACCTTTACTTCTACCTATAAGGCATGAAGTTGTGTTTCATTGTCCACATAAGCACAGGTACGGTGAAGAGTCCACCAGGAAGAAGGCAAGAGAAAACAGCAGATGGAAGAATAAAAAATAAATAATAAATAAAAATCAGATCACTATACACATCACCAAAAGACAATTTGAAATTAAGCATCTGAACACAGTACAAAAAAAAGAGCACACAAAAGCACACGAACACAGAAGGGAGATAATCTAACCACACAAATACTGATCTTTAGCTCCAATTTTATATGGAGAAAGCAAACCTCATGCAATAGCAGCACGTCAGAAATGCACAGCACACCACCTCAAATTCATAATGGCAGAGAAAACAAAGATTAAAACACAGGTCAAAAGGAGGGTATTACCATGTGGAAATATATTTGCTAAATATTTTCCACTTACTCATGGTGGTGCAAGAAGGACAAGAATGTGTAAGTGTTCTAGATATATAAATAACACACATCGTCTCTATATTATATCACCATTGTATATAATATGTATTTGTAGACACATCTATTCACACAAGTACATTAGCATTTTACGCACTCTATATAAATATTATCATGGTGGAATAAGTGAAAGAATTAGCTGGAAAGAAAAAGACAGACAGTTTACTTGGCACAATGAGATGGATAACATGTGAGAGAGACAGAAATGTCAGAGGTCACTGGCTCCCTAGTTTAGTCACCAGGCGAGGGGAAGCAGGATGAAGAAGCCACAATCAGTGATATGACCGTCATCACATTGAATGGGCTGCAGCTTGCATCCTCTACATTTACCACTTGCTTAAGAGGATACATACCTCATAATATAATGTTTTCCATGAATCTGTCTTATATTGCTCAAGCTTTTTTATTAACAAAGCAGTGATAGCTGGGCTGGCACACAGTGGCCAAAATCCTGTTGCATAACATAGGGAGTCTGTTCCTGTTTTGGTCTGTTCCTTGCCGAAGAAAGACCTTTCAGTATGATTCTCAGGGCTGCATACAAATGAACCAAGCCACTTGGTACATGTGACCCTGAAATTCATGGCCACAGCTCTTTCTTTGCCAGCAAAGAACAGACCAAAACCTACATTTTTCCTTATGCTATGCAACAGGATTTCAGCCAATCAATCAATCTATCAATCAGTCGATTGATCTATCAATCTACACACATATAAGGTGTATAGAGGCAGAAAAGGAACGATAAAATAATTCAAGAAAATACTACATCAGGTGGGATGCTGAAAGTGAACAGTAAAGGGAGAGGAAATTGGAAAGGAGAAAGATGATCTTAAGTCTTTGTATTCTTTCATAGCATCCACAGTAAATGCATGTAGTTTGGAGTTTACTATAGACAATTTATATTGTAGATGGACAACTGAAATTTTCTAACTTTTTAGCCCTTCAATCTTAATCAGTGTATGAGCTGTGCAAAGGAAAACCTAATACAATCGTATCACCTAATCAGAGTAATTTCTTGTGTCTCCTCAAGAGGGCCCAAGGACGCTTACAATCTTAAACAATACTAAAAAATTATTTTAAAAAACTAGAAAAATATATTCTTACAATATTAAACATAATTAAACATGCATTGTTTTAAAAAACCAATAGATAAAAACAATTTAAAAGCATTCAACATAGAACTTGTTTTATCAATGGTTAGAAGCACGTTCTATAGATTAAGAGCTTGATATGTATTGTAGTTTTATTGGCAAATGATTGTGGGCTGAACCCAGAAGACACGATGTTAAATAAGCATAGATGGATTTTATATATAATAATAATAATAATAAAAATTTAAAAATGCCACCAAAAACAAGCCCTCAAAACTCAGTAGCTCCATTTTTATGAATCCCCTCTTAGGCAGTCAATTACCAAAAAAGCCTGCCTGAAGAGAAAGGGTTCTGCCTGCTTCCCATGGGAGGGGGTTCCACAGCCTGGGAGCAATAACAGAGAAGTACTTCTCTTATATCTTTTCCAAATGCATCTGTAGGGATGGCAGGACTGAATGAAAGGCCTCCCCTGATAATTTTAAAACCTAGGCAAACTCTAAAAAGGGAGATGCAGGACATTCATTTTATCATCGTATCCTAAAACAACTTGCAGAATAAAAGGACTTAAGTGGATCCTCTCCACTCCAGAATTACTTTCTTCCTCCCTCCCTGCTCCTTTTTAACATCTCAGCTGTTAACAGGAATATATTTTGGAAAGACTGTGCTTTTTTTTGTACCTCTTCACACTTTTCTGCACTTTTTTTGGTGCAGAATGGACTACAAAGTTATCACCACAATACGATGCTATCAGCTCTTAATGAGCTGAGTATCACTGCCCCTCTCGTGAGTTGCATGTAGGTGCATACATGCATGTAGGACTAGGAACTAGAATTTGCTGTTTGTGCCACAATAATGTGATCCTCATCAAGTGCAAATTTTACATCTTTTGAATAGGCACTTGAGACCCGCTAAGTACAATGTTTTACTCTGGCAATTTCTTTGTGTTTGGCTGCCTAAGCAATGAGAGCAGATGGAAAGCAAAATGGAGTAGAGGACCAAATGAAGAGCTTCTTGGAAAGTAGCCAAGTATTCTGAACAGAGACAAACAGAAATAGGCTCTTAATATAATGACAGTAATGACAGATCAGGAACTGAAATCTAGTCTGCTGAGCCTCATTGCTCACACACAAGTTTCCAGCCCATTTTAAAATTTAGGTAATATATCTGTAATCTTCAATAGCTGTGCTGACTGAAATAGCTTCCCCTGAATCATTGCTACTGATCAGAATATTAAAAGTCTATCTGTACTACACAGATAAATTTGATACAGTTTTAACTGCTGTGACTTCATCCTTTAGTAGAGGTCTCATGTAGTTCCAGGACTAAAGAAGAGCTCTTTAATAGATAATCCTAAATATCTCACTAAATTACAGTTTCCAGGGTTCTTCAGAATAGAGTCACAACAATTAAAATTGTATAAAATGGACATTACTGAGTATTGCTGGGACATCTGTAATTAACTGTGTATGTCTCCCTGTCCACTACCTGTTTGGCAAGAGCTTCAGCAAGAGGATAAACAACCAATCTGCATTGAGGACTAGGATTAAAATTGGCTATTTGTGCAACAGCAATGTGGCATCTTTGGCAAGTTCTTTTCAGACCCAGCAGTTCTGGATGGCTCTGTGAGAATTGCTAGTAGTAGCTACAGTGGAACATATCGCTGTTTGTGCCAAGACATTTAAATAGTAAGTGACTCCTAGAAATAAAATGCTCCAGTATAGCTTTGCAATTCTAATGTGCCTTCTAGTGCCGCGAATTCTAACGTGAATCACTTAGAATAGAGCTGCATGCTAAATTTATGGACCATGATTGAGATCTTGACTCCCCATGTTGCTGTCAGGATGATCCTACTGTTATATAGGTTCCCTTACACCTGGAACTAAATGTAATGGTATAACTGTCATGCTAAACTGAACACTTAATTTATCTGACTCATCAAATAGTTGATTACCATTTAATGAAACATCCACCATCTCTCTCTAACACCTGTCATCTCCAGAGGGAATAATGACCACACTACCGAAGGTCATGCCAAAGCAGCACAACATCTTCTATCTGCTTTACACACTCTCTGAATGCTTACTAAAGTAGTGCAAAGAAAATACATCTTGTAGCATCTTACAGATGGGGAAGTTTTATTTGCCACAAGCTCTCGTGGACTGCAGCCCTCTTCTTCAAATGTAGAAGGAGGCCTTTACGGTGGGTGCCACAAGACTTCTTGGTTCCACTACAACAGATTATGTACAAACACAGCCACTCCTCTGGATATCTGCATAGGTGCATTTCTTTCCAACCCATACACCTCTGTTTTACGCTGGGTGGAGACCCATACTGCCAGTTTCAATAAATGCACAATAATATCTGGTTCAAACTACAAATGCAGGGCCTCTGATTTAAAACTACCTCATTTTTTTAGACATCTCAAAGTACATTATTTACCTCTTTGGATGTTTTAAACTGCAGGAAATGAAAACCATTAGCTGTAAATAGTGTCTTCAAAGATCACTGCCACAAAAATGTTAAGCATATTTTTTGTAGAACATTTAGCCAAAAAAAGAAGAAAAGAATTCTGACAGCCAGATCTACCAAGTGTCAGTTGTGGTGTCAGTTATAAAAGCAAAAGCAGAAGGACTGGGGGAAGAATATGATAAAGAGCATGTCAGACCTTCTTTTTCAATTTGCCTTCACTATATCAATTCATTGTTAGCACACCTGACTTCAGACTTCCAGGGATTATCTTCTCAAACATTGGTTACATATCTCAAATTCAGCAAATGAATGATGGAAAGGCAACAGATGGGAGTAAATACAAAGCAGTTGGACTGCTTTGGGTATCCCAGCCTACGCAAGCCAAGCTGTGATAGGAGGAAGCAGGGATCATCATATGCAAATACTAAAGAAAGCAGGAAAGAAAAGACTTACCTTGCTCGCCCATCATCAGGTGTGAAAGGCCTTTGAGAAACAGAAAGGAAGGAAGTGAGAAAGAATGAAACAGAAAAGAAGAAAAGCAAATATAGAAACACCCATGTCATTTATATAGCCCAATAGTATTGGAGGTCGCCACATACTTAATAAAAAAGTATGGATATTGCACTCCATGCATGTGTGCACAATATGTGCATACACATGTGTACACATTCCACAGCTTCCCACATAAATGGAGAAAGCTTGGTCTGCAGACAGGAAAAAGACAATCCTTATCTCCTTCAATGAGAAATGACTTACTGAATTTCGTGGCAGAAGTGTAGCCATAGCCAGACATCTGTATGAGATAGTCTTTCTGGGAAGACCAGCAGGAGACCTTCTAATACTAATGCTTTGGCAGGCAATCACCCATATTTTTTATCAAATATAAGCAAAAGGTAACGCAACTCCAGTCTATATTTCTGATTAAGCTTCTATGAAAATCAAGCAGTCAGTCACTCACACATTATAATATAAACCAAGAGTAAGAAAAAAGCAATCTGTATTTTTGACTGAGGTCCTGTTAAATTCAAATCACTAAACTCAGATAAATAATTTGTTTTGTGTACCATTTGTTTCCAGTTGGTATCATAGCATATTTCAAGCTTTGGAAACATGCAAAAAAAAAAAAAAAAAAAAAAAAAAAGGACACAGAGACAGCTAAACATAGATCTTCTAAAACAAGTCAGAATCAAACGGTCACTATTTTAGAACCAGTGCATTCATCAGATTTTTCAGTCAGTGGTAGCTTTTAGGTTGGTAGTAATTTCTTCATTTCTTCTATTCCTTCACCCTTAGAAATCTAAAATCCAGATCATCCTAAGTAAATATTCATCCAATAGAATTTTCCATCAGAAAAGGAGATTAATATCTATAATAACTGTTTTTATACACACATACACAGATACACAAATATTTAGATGTTAAAGATTATTAAGGATTTGGGGAAGAGGAATAATCAGAAACTACAAGTTTAGCAATCAGAAATCTTCCCCATGCACACATATGCTATAAATAAACACAAAAAATATTTGTTTTGATTAAGACATGTCCCTGATTTTTCTGAGTATATTTGATAAACGAGAAGACATGATTGAATTTTTACTTCATTTGGAGATATTGATGCACATGTGACAAGAGTTTATAGATGCAACTACCACTGCTGCCTAGGAAGACATATGTAGGTTCAGCTCTGCTGGATGCCGTAAGCCCAACTCTATGTGGGTCAAAACACAGATTTTCTAGGATTCTGGCTCACGTGGAGAGCTTCCATGAATAAAAGAGACTTTCTCTTCAGAAATCAATTTTTTGTGTGTGTGAGTGAAGAGATGATGGGAGGGGGGTGTCAGTTCTTTGTGTTTACTTTAATGCTGAACAGCTGAATAGGGCTACAGTCTGAACCTGACATTTTGATGTCTTACAATATGTGTGCATTATATGAGTTGCTAATACATTTTTGCCTCTGACAATACACAGAAGGGAGATTTTGAATGTTTCCTTATAAGCCTAAGTTTTTTTTATCTGTGTTATAGAATCTACAAAACCTAAATGATACATTTTCCAGGTAACCAACTCAGAGATCACCCACAATCGGGGGGGGGGGAGGTAGAGTTTCCACCAAATATTAATGTATTCTGTTTTTATTCTGCTGGTGACTTCCATCTAGAAAAGTAGCACAGAAATTATACTAATATATTTTTTAAAATTGCAGAACATTATGCCTTGGGCTTTGTTACACTTGACTTTGACTGAGAAAATAAAAATTCAGAATGCTGATTATGGAATCTGTACCCTCACAATTTGTTTATTTTACTTTTTTCCCCTTTAATTTTCTTTTCATTCTTTCTGAAGAAGTCTATCAGCATTTCAGCATAAGTAATACTATGTTTTAATTCATAAATCAACACACACACACATTTGGCAACAGCTCTGCTGCAGTGAATGAAATACATATGAGTTGTATCCACTAGTGTCCCTCTCCTGTCGGAAGTCTACTTGCCTCAGAGGGGAGGAGAGGAAGGAATTCCTCCCAGTTTCCCCAATCTCAATATCTGTCCACCTGAGCCTCCCTTTGTACCTGCTCATCCAGAGCAAGTTGGGAGCAAGTTCAGCAGCCTATATTCGAGGGGAAGGAGACCTTGACAAAAAGTGTCCCTCCCTTTTCCACTAAAGTTTCCACAGGATCAAAGAGCCTTCTACAAACAATGAACACATTTGAGTATGATAACACAAAATTAGAAAAACTAAAAAATTTACACAAAACAAAGTAGTATATTAACAATCGTGATAATATACAACATTAAAAGCCCTATAATGCTTTATACTACAAAACAGAAAAATGTGTTTAGTAACTGTGGCGTTCGCCCTTGTGGCTCCTGCTTGTCTTTCCATCACAAAGGCTCACGTCACGTTTTCCTCTCGCCGCCACCAGTGGATTACCTCAATCCACAATATAAATGACGTTTGTCAGAACATTTGTCTTGTGAACACAAACAGAACTTTTTTATTGGAGTGAAGCGGATTGAATAATAACAGAAGTTTCTCAGATAAACATTGTACACAAGCAAATCATCAACAGTTCTCTCAGTACATCCTTTTCTCTTGCTATATCATTACCACGTTCTCTACCTATTTTTCTAACAAGCTCCATCTCTCAGTATCTGTTCCCTCTCTCTCTGACTAACCAGCCCTATCTAACTCCTCCTTCTCCCGCCAAACCTCATGTAGATACTGACTCCGCCTCTCCAGTCCTCTCATAGGTTCATGCAAATCAGGTCATGAATATGAATGGCACGAGTGACATGGGTGATCGTCACATTCCTCCCCCTAAGAAAAAGTTTGTTTCCTGAGGAAAACCTTACAGTTTACCCTTGTGAACAATGGAACATACAGGAAACATTACATACAAAACACCATCATAACAATATGCTTACCAGTTATGTTCTAAATCATATACCATATTTTACCATATAACACATTACACTTACCATATACTTATACATACCTTATACTAGTTTCTCTCTATTACTATGTTTACCAGATCAAACTTATTACTGTAAACATTTGAAACAATCAATGCAATTATAAACATTTTCCTTACTCACATGAAGACAGCTTACATTACTTCTACATTAATAATGCTACTCACCATTATTGTTTTCCATCTCTATATACACCTCTTAGTTAATCAGCATTCAATGAGACATTTCATTTTAATTGCATTTCATTACTAGTGCACAAACAGAACATTTAACACAACATTACACTCTTTTATCCATCCATTAGTTATTTGGCCTTCAAGACCAGGCGTTAGCAACCATATTTTGAGTCCATTTTATGCTGCAGATCTCAAAGTCAAAGTCTTGCAGGTTTAGTGTCCATCTTGCAAGCTTACTGTTAGCATCTTTCATGGTTTGTATCCACACCAGAGGGAAAGGGTCAGTGCAAAGGATGAACCTCCTGCCCCAAATGTAAGGCTTCAGTCTTTGCAGTGTCCAAACAGTCGATAGGCATGCCCTCTCGATGGCAGATCAATGTCTCTCACCAGGTTGGAATCTCCTGCTGATCAGAGTAACTGGGTGCAGTTTTACGCTGTCATCCGCTTGGCACAGCACCATTCCAAGTCCGACGCTTGATGCATCCACACAAACTGTGAACTACTGGTTGTAGTCTGGCACAACAAGGGCAGATCCTGAAGCCCACACCCTCTTCTGTCTACTGGCAGTCATTGGGCAGTCTGAAGTCCACTGGATGTCCTCAGCTCGCCTCTTCTGGGTTAAGTCAGTCCTCTTTCTAAATAGTGGCTTAATTTTCTCAGCTGTGGGAAGGTTAAGCAGTTTCTTCCACTTCTCCAGCATAGCTATGACTGCGTTCTTCCTTCAGAGATTATGGTTTACGCTTTCCTCATCATCAACAAATTCACCCACAGGTACTTTTGTTGCGAAGTTCTCCATATGTGGGGGACCACTATCATGGGTCACCTCCAAATTCACAGGCATGTTTGTTTTAAGTGTAATCTCAAAATCTTGGTTTATTTTAGATGTATTGAGATTTTCATCACCTGGTTCTATATCTTTAATATTTGGTTTCTTAGGTAGGGGTTTGCATTGCAGGGTTTTAAGGGCTTTTGCAGCTGCAGAGCGACTAGACTTCTCAGCCCTCCAGTTCTGCTGCAGCGAATGCACATGTTGTGCCCCCCTGCTAACTGTAATTCACTCCCCTCTATGGGTCTCAGCCTCACCAATTTGTCCTCAGGACAGAATGCTCTTTCCTGGGCCTCATACAAGCCTTTTTTCCTTTCCAGGAGTACCCCCCCCCCCAAGCTTGGCTCTGCTACTTCTAAGAACTTGTTCCTATATTTTACAGGGACAATTTATTGTGATATCCATCTCCAATCCTATGAATTGTTGATAAACCCTCTCTATATATCAGGTTTTTATCAGCTATAAACCTCTCTGGGTGTTCAGGTGTCAGCAGAATGGGATTCTCATTAGGTGTTTTAATACAAGCATTTAAAGTAGTATCTTCCTTCTGCTCCTCAATACAGGAAGTACAGTATTATTAGGGTTTTTCAATATGACCTCCTCAGCCATTTCTGCTTCCTCAGGGTTTTCCTCTAGACTGGGTTCAGGATTTTCAGGGGTCAGTGGAATTTCCTTAACATGTGCAAAGCATTCAATTAATGTAGGGTCTTCCTTTTGTTCTTTGATGAAAAAGAGATTATTAGGGTTTCTCAGAATAACCAGATCAGCTGTCTCTCTCACTTCTCTTATTTCAGGAAGATTTCCATCATTTCCCTCAGTGGCTTCAATTTGCCTTCCCTGAGAATAAGTTGTCATAAAAACACTCTGCACATGCTCAGCTAAATCCAGACCCATTAAACACCTTCCAAACTCCTAACCATCCCTTATATTTTATTGGTATTTTTCCATGGGCAGCACCACTATTTCAGAACCAAGCCCTTTAATAGAAATATTTTCATGGTCTAA